TTAATTGTATAACTGGCACATAATTTTTGACTTAAGTAATGTATGAGCAAAAGTATTGCTAAAATACGCATTTAGCAAAATTTATACTTATATATAATGACAGCAAATAAGAACAATGATTGACTACATGATTGTGCTGATGGTAAAATGATTGACTACATGATTGTGCTGGTGGTGGAAAAACAGAATTCTTACCTACTAATTATAATATGTACCTATAATAATCTGTAATATTGTATTCACTAGAATAAATTTTCTTACATTCATAACTTAAAAAGCTGTTTGAAAGAATTAAAATTAAATTTAAAAGATGCAAAACAATTTTAAAGTAATTTGACATGAATAAATTTTTGTATAACTGTAGTAATATATACCCAGCAAACACAAAACGTTCAAGTACATTTGACGAACGTTGCAATGATGTATGTTTTATGAACATTTGCATGTTTTATGAATGTTCTTTAAATGTTCTTGATATAATATATACATAATTAAAAAATAATGTTCAAAAAATATTGTCACAATGTTCATTTAGGTTTGCGTAACGTTTGCTGCAAACCTTATGTGAACAAACTATTGTAAACTCCTATTTACAGTTCTTGAACGTTCAATACAAATGTTCAAATAACAAACAGCAAATGTTTAATTAATGTTCATTGCAAAAACTCCTTTGATAGCTCTTAAACATTCACTTCAAACATGCAATAACAAACACCAAAGTTTTTTTTTTTTTAAAATTTAAACATATTGGTTTAGATTTTTAAAAAAAAAAACGTAGATTTAAACATATTGGAAATTTGTTTAAATCTACGTTTGCTATTTTTTGTGTAATGAAATGCTCTTTTGAACTTATATAGCACTTATTTATTTAAAAATTGTTAAATAAATACTTAAGTAAAAATTTTTTTTTACTTAAGTACAAATTCTCCATGTTTTATGACTGAATTTCACCATATTAAGCTTATTTGCGAGGCCATGATAACTATTAGATTTCAACCATTAGGCACACAATTGGCCTATTTTTTTCATTACAATAAGGCAAATTTTTCGGTATTAAATTTAAACAAGGAGCTAATTGACATTACAATAATATTTATTATCTGGAATAATAGCTTTGTTTCATAAAAATATTAGTAATTATAATTATGAACTTAATATTGTCTCAACGCGTAAACTTTAGTCTTGATTAGTTCCATGTTTAGATTTCATAATGAAATATATCTATCACTTGCATGAAGGAAGTAGTGTAAAGTTCTTTGCAACAAGTTGAAAACTCACATTTGAGATTTTTAGCATACATTTTAAATTAGAAATTTTGTCTAAAAAGTTGGAATGAATTATTATTTATTAAAATAATAGATACTCATAACAGTTGACAATTTTTTGTTTGTTTAAATATTAGGCTTTTCTAACTGTGTTAAAACTAAAAACATTGCAGTATTAGTAAGATGCCATCTTTATTTTCCAAATGCTATACGCTATTATTACAGCCTCATAGCCAATCTAAAAAGTTATTGCAAAGAGGAGGAAAAAGAGTTCAAACTTTTAATACCAATATATATATATATATATATATATATATATATATATATATATATATATATATATATATATATATATATATATATATATATATATATATATATATATACATATATATATATATATATATATATATATATATATATATATATATATATATATATATATATATATATATATATATATATATATATATATATATGTATGTATTTATGTGTATATATGTATATATGTATATATATGTATATGTATATACAAATAAAGGTGGAATAAGAGTTAATATTTTTAATACTAATATATATATATATATATATACATATATATATATATATATATGTATGTATGTATGTATGTATGTATGTATGTATGTATGTATGTATGTATGTATGTATGTATGTATGTATCTATATCTATATATCTATCTATCTATCTATATATCTATATCTATCTATATATCTATATATCTATATATCTATATATCTATATATATATATATATATATATATATATATATATATATATATATATATATATATATATATATATATATATATATATATATATATATATATATATATATATATATATGTATAAATATATATATATGTATATATATATATATATATATATATATATATATATATATATATATATATATATATATATATATATATATATATATATATATATATATATATATATATATATATATGTATATATATATATATATGTATATATATATATATATGTATATATATATATATATATATATATATATATATATATTAAGGCCCTGCAAAATTTTGAATCGAATCGAAAAAATGATTCAAAAATTTTTAAAAATTGAATCCTTACTCATTTTGTTTTTGTTGTGGGTATTTTAGATATTCTGCACTTTGGCGCTATCGAAATAACGTTACTTATCCTTAAATTCTTTTTTAATCAGTCATTATATATATAAAAAAATAAACAGGGCAAGAAGTATCAATAAAGAGACGAAAAATTGGAGCATGAAATTAAATTATGAAAAATGTAAAATTATCCTCCTATAATACTCCTATACTAACTATATACAACTTTTGTTAGGCCTGAATTAGAATTTTGTGCACCAGTTTGGAATCCAAATTTGAAAAATGAAATTAAAAAACTTGAAAAAGTTCAGCAAAGAGCTACAAAGCTTATTCCAGGTCTCAAGCACAATTCTTATAAAAATGTTTATCAAGTTTAAAGTTAAAAAGTCTCGAATCCAGAAGAATTAGAGGGGACCTCATCCAATATTATAAAATAAAAACAAATTTAAACAAAGTAAACTGTTGTCATCCCAAAGAGTACTGAGAGTTTACTAAACACAGTTACCATGAAACCTGGTTTCACTGGATAATGCTCTAAGAAGTGGAATTTCCTTGGTGGCATGGTTTTGAACTTTTTTCAAGTTTTTAATGTTGTGTGCAGAAAGAGAATTCAATACAGGAGCAGCATACTCAAGATGAGGTCTGACCAGCAATGTGTAAAGTCTCTTCCAGACTTGTGCATTTTTATAGAGAAAAGCTTTCTTGAGTTGACTAAAAACAGAGTTAGCTTTTGATGATAGTATTTCCACATGCATGTCCTATTTGAGGTCGTGTGAAATGCCAAGATCTCTTTCATTATAAGAGGAATCAAGAAGCAGCATCCCTTGTGGAGTCAAGATATAATATTGGTGGTTGGGAGTTTGGTTTTTGCTGAAGTGTAAGATAAGGCACTTTTTCTAGTTAAGACATAAGCACTAGGTTGTAGTCCAAAATGTGATTTAATTTGTTGTTCTGGAGCATAATTGGGCTTCCAGAGGTCAAATTGGTGGAAATAACTTTGCTATCACCAGCATATAACTTCATTGGATTGCTAACTAGATCTGTAATGTCATAATTGGATAAGACAAATAGAGGTGCTAGAACAGATCCTTATAGGACACCACTAGTGACTGGTCACCAATCTGAAGGAGCAGAACCCATGACAACTCCCTGTATTCTGTTAGAAAGAAAAGACTGTATCCAATTAAGTAGCATATAAGAGACACTATAACCAGAAAGTTTGTGGAGCATAAGATTATGAGGAGGTGTTTCAAACGCTATATATAAAACATGTATAAACTAAAAACCTCATGGGCACCCATGGCACCCATTTTTATCAACCTTTTAGACTTGTAAATGATATTTATTATGAGAAGTAAAGTGAAGCCAGTGAAGGTAAATAAATCTTATATATATTATGCATACATAATGAGTGTTTATAAGCAAAAAAGAGTTTAAGTTAAAAATTTAAACTATATTACTTTTGAGTCCCTAATAAAAGAGCAGAAAAAACTAAAAAAAAAGTCAGTGAAAATCAGTCCTAAAAATTAGAAAATAATTCTTTCAATCATTGATAAAAACAAAAATTTTAATGGAAACAGGCTTTAAAAATTGGCGACCTGGTATATCTCAATTCAGCATATTAAATCCTATTGAAATTATGCTAAAAGAAAAATATGCTAGTTTTAGGCATATTTTGTAAAAAATATTAGTTTGGATTTATTAACTAAACGTTTTGATAAAAAATACTTACATTGTATCATAAAAAAATTATGCTAAAACAGCTGTTTGAAAATGCACATTTGACCACAAGCCGCTCTAGAATTAAATAGTTTTAGGCATATTTTGTAAAAAATATTAGTTTGGATTTATTAACTAAACTTTTTGATAAAATACTTATATTGTATCATAAAAAAAATCCAACTCCACCTTTGATTAACCCCCCTTCCCCTTCCTTCTTGTTTCTTAGATTTAGACTAAAACTCACCCCCCCTCTTTTTAATCCCTCCTCCCTCCCCTTGTCTCAAGAGTAAGAGTGTTATTGTTTTTCTTTAAAAGCAAAACATGTTACGTACATTTATTAAATATACAAGAGTAATAATTATTAATATTTTTATTTATTGTAGTTTGTATAAGCTTGAGTTTGTGTATAAAACTGTTTTGAATTGACAGTTTATAACAGTTTAAGTCTTTTATAAATGATATATTTAAGTCAATTATAAATAAAACTAGCTCGTTTTTCAAAATCACAAAGAGCATCTGTGATTTTAATAAAAAAAACTTAAATTTTAAATTAAAAATTTTTAGTAAAAAAAAGAACTTTTATCTCTAATGAAGTATTGTAAATTGCGCTATTTTAAAAAAGACATGTTTATAATTTTTATGTTTTTAGAGGTAAAAGCTGTACATTTTTACTTTCTAGAGTTTTCTGAATGTTTTAAGAAACCTTTGAAACTTTCTTGAATTTTTCGGCATTTTCTAGAAGTTTATAAAAATTAGCAAAATTTAGAATGTATATATTGACAGTAAATAAGAACAGTGAGGAATGATTGACAACAAAAATACAATAGAACACAACATAACACTATTTAAAAAAAAAATACTAAAAATATGCTAAATTGCATTTACCTGGTAAGCAATCCTTTGACAATGTTGGTTCAGGTAAAGGTTGTTTTGCTCCAAATAAGTACATTGATTGTGCAGGTGGTGGCGGTGGTGGTTGTGAAAAAAATGAAGTCTTACCTATTAATAATAATATGTACCTATAATATTCAGTAAAATTGTATACAAAATGAAAAAGAATAAATTCTTTTCATTCATAACTTAAAAAGCTGTTTGAAAGAATAAAAATTAATGTTAAAAGGTACAAAACAATTTAAAAGTAAATTGACAAGCACTGTAAATTGACCTTTGTGAAAGCCAATTTACAGTGCTTGAACATTCAATACGAATGTTCAAACAACGAACATTTACTTAACATTCATTGCAAATCTTTTTTTAAAAGCTCTTGAACATTCACTTCAAACATGCAATAATGAACATCAAAGTTTTAATTTTTTTTTTTAATCTAAAAGTAATGGGTTTAGACGGACTTTCTGTTTGCTATTTTGTGTGTAATGTAATGCTTTTTTGAACTTATATAGCACTTATTTATTTAACAATTGTTAAATAAATACTTAAGTAAAAATTTATTTTTACTCAAGTACAAATTTTCCATGTATTATGACTGAATTACACTATATTAAGCTTATTTGAGAGCCCATGATTTACTATTACATTAGGCACATAATTGGCCCAATCCATTTGAAACTGTTTTGTTGGATTTTTTCGGAGCTTCCAGAGTTTCGGAGTTCGAGAGAAACCGAGAAACTTTGACGGAACTCTCACAAAGTTTTTAGAAAAATTCTTTTTTTTCCTGGTGAAATAACTAAATGTTTCTTTTTTTTCTGCGTTGGTTTTTACAATATTTTTAAGTTGTTGTTTTGAAAATGAAAGTGTTCTCTTTAGAAAATTTTCAATGACAACCTAATGTGACAACGCAGTTGGCAGAAAATTTTATAATATTATAGTTTAATTTTAAAAACAAACAAACATAAAAATTTAAAATATTAAGTAAATTTATTTACAAGGTAAGTGTAATTAAACATTTTAAACAACAATTAAACAATTTATTCAAAGCTAAGTTACTTAATCTAAATGAAATAAAAACAAATATCTGAAGATTAACAGGTGACAATAGGTGTAGCAATAAAGGTAGAAGATACTATAATTTAAATGTTCAGCACTACTTCACGAATTGCTTAAGATAGGTATTGCTTAGGAAAAGTTAAAAGAATTTGGCTCAGATAGTAAAGATATTGCAATTAAAACTACAGATGATTGTAAGTGGATATTGAAATTGGGCACCATAGTTAAGTTTCCACATCAGATCTGCCAGAATTATTCAATTCATTTTAGTTTTTTTTTATTTGATATACGCTAAAAAAGATTGTCACAAAATTGTGGGTTGCAAATAACCTGAATTGGATATTGAAGCAGAAACGGAATCAAATGGAGAGACTGAAGGAGAATGGCTTAATAATTATTAGAAGAAAAAGATTGAATATGATAAATAATAATGAAAAAAGGTTAAAGAAACTTCGAATACTAATTAGGTTCTTGAAATATTCCTTGTTTTATATAAAGTTCTAAAAGAAATATAAATGAAATTTTTGGATCTTTACATTACAAAGGACTGCTGCTTCACAACCACACTTGATGAAACAGTGTTTTTAAGATAATAAAAGACTTTTGGATGTGTTTTTTATTTTAAAGCTTAGAAGGAGTAAAAAAACACTCGAGGAACTAAACTGCTTAAACATTTTAAATGACATTGACTTGGATTTGTTGAAATTGCTGTCTGATTTATTGCAAGTCATTGCTGCTACTGCAGTTCGCTTAGAAAAATAAAATACAACAATTTTGAAGTGTGACATTGTTATGGAAACATTTCTTAGCTAATTGAAGATGAAGAAACTGAGATCAATTTGCAGAGAGGTTAATCTTAAGATATGAAAATCGTAATTTTAGTATTCGATTCAAAAAAAAAATTTAAATTTTTTTTTTTCACGCTTCGAAAAAAGATATTAAAGTTTCTGCTATAAAAATATTTGATCAAGTATTTGCAACAAATGAAAATAGCATCCAACCAAAATTAGTTGATCGCGCTAATAGCAAACATGAAGAACTATCATAATCGACACCCTTTTTTGACGGAATTCAAGAAGCTCCGAATCAAAATCAATCAACAGCTAAAAAGCCAAAAAAAATCAAGACCTTCACCAAGCAGTTAAAAGAATATGAAGCAACTGGTGTAAAATCTAAAGCAATTTTAAAATGAACTAGCCGTCCACAGAATTCAACCCATTTATTAGATAAAACCTGATCAAGAGAGAATTGTGATAAAAAAAAAAAAAATTCATTTTAATTACAGAGAAATAAAAGAATCTTTTTTTTTTAAACGAAGCGAAGTTTGTATAAGCTTGAGTTTGTGTATAAAACTGTTTTGAATTGACAGTTTATAACAGTTTAAGTCTTTTATAAATGATATATTTAAGTCAATTATAAATAAAACTAGCTCGTTTATCAAAACCACTAAGAGCATTTGTGATTTTAATAAAAAAAACTTAAATTTTAAATAAAAAATTTTTAGTAAAAAAAAGAATTTTTATCTCTAATGAAGTATTGTAAATTGCGCTATTTTAAAAAAGACATGTTAATAATTTTTATGTTTTTAGAGGTAAAAGCTGTACATTTTCACTTTCTAAAGTTTTCTGAATGTTTTAAGAAACCTTTGAAACTTTCTTGAATTTTTCGGAATTTTCTAGAAGTTTATAAAAATTAGCAAAATTTAGAATGTATATATTGACAGTAAATAAGAACAGTGAGGAATGATTGACAACAAAAATACAATAGAACACAACATAACACTATTTAAAAAAAAAATACTAAAAATATGCTAAATTGCATTTACCTGGTAAGCAATCCTTTGACAATGTTGGTTCAGGTAAAGGTTGTTTTGCTCCAAATAAGTACATTGATTGTGCAGGTGGTGGCGGTGGTGGTTGTGAAAAAAATGAAGTTTTACCTATTAATCATAATATGTACCTACAATATTCAGTAAAATTGTATACAAAATGAAAAAGAATAATTTTCATTCATAGCTTAAAAAGCTGTTTGAAGGAATCAAAATTAATTTTAAAAGATAAAAAACAATTTAAAAGTAAATTGACATAAATAAATTTTTTGTATAACTTTTGTAATTAGCAAACACAAAACCATAAAGTGCATTTGACAAACGTTGCAAACATTTAAGCCTGTTTTATGAACCTTTTTTAAATGTTCTGAAAATAATATTTACATAATTTAAAAATAGTGTTCAAAAAATGTTGTCACAACATTCATTTTGCCTAAAAATTTCTGCAAACCTTTGATGAAC